TTAACCTTCAGAACTTAGCAATATGTTGCAGAGGGCTGAAGAACTGATTAAGAAGGATAGACTGGTTATCATGCTTGTTGAAAGTGGAAAATCGAGCAAGAAGAATCATAAGAAGAAAGTTGGCAAGACCAAAAAGTAGAAGGATAAGACATCAGATGCCTGTCACTTCTGCAAGCAGACTGACCACTGGAAGAGGAATTGTCCTCAATATCTTGAGACCAAGAAACAAGGTAATTTTGAATCATTTATCATAGAAACCAATTTGTTGGACACTTCTACGTCCTGGTGTATTGACTCCGAGGCTTCTACTCATGCATGTAACACATTGCAGGGGTTCAAGACAAGCAGAAGGTTGAGTGATAGAGAACCATAGGAACTGTTGCAGTTGCAACCATAGGAATTGTAGAATTGTATTTCAGAGAAGGAGTTATCTTACTTAAAGACTGTCTTTATGTACTGAATTTGAGAAGAAATTTGATTTCTATTTCAAAATTGTGTATTGATGGTTATTCTATTTTATTCAGTAATGTGATTACTATTAAACGGAATAGCAAATTCCTTATTTACGGAGAACTTGAGAATGATCTTTATGTTGCCCATCATTCTCTAAAAACTAATTTAACCGAAATTACATCGGATGTAATACCCAAGAAAAAAACATGTGATACAGTTAATCCCATGTGCGTGTGGCACTACTGAGTTGGCCACATTAACATAGATTGTATCACAAGGTTGGTAAATGATGATCATTTGGATTTTCTAATTGTAGAAGATCTTGCAACCTGTGAACCTTGCCTTTAGGGTAAGATGACGAAATGATCATTTACAGGTAAGCCCAAAAGATTTACAAGCACACTAGACCTGATACATATTGATGTATGTGGTCACATGAATGTTAGGACACATAACCAACACGTTTACTTTATAACATTTACTGATGATTTTTCATGGTACGGTTACGTGTACCTAATGAGACACAAGTCTGAATCCTTTGAAAAGTTCATGGAGTTTATACAAGAGGTTGAGAAACAGTTTGAGAGAGATTAAGGCGCTTCGATCAAATCGATGAGGCGAATACCTCTCCAATGAATTCAAGGACTACATAAAGGAAAACAAGATTGTATCACAACTAGCTCCTCCTGCTACATCACAATTAAACGGTGTATCGAAGAAGAGAAATCAAACTCTATTGGATATGGTCCATTCACTTCTCATCCGCTTGGAATTACCTATATCCTTTTGGGGTTACGCATTAGAGATTGTGATATACGTGTTGAACCGGATTCCAACCAAATCCATTCCTAAGACTCCATATGAGATATGGACCGATAAGAAACCAAGTGTAAGGCATTTGAAGATTTGGGGTTGTCCGACACATGTTAAAAGAACAAGTGTTGACAAATTAGAATCCATGACCAGTCGTTGCATGTTTGTAGGCTACCCCAAAAGCTCTGCAGGTTATTCATTCTATGATCCAAAGGAGCAAAAGCTGTTTTACAGTCAAAATGCCCATTTCTTGGAAGAAGACTATATCTTGGACAATCATCATCAGAAAGTTGTTTTTGATGAGGAGAGCTCAGGGGTAGTGGGAGATGTCCCATAGGCTCTAGAAAATAACCAACCTAGAAAATCTACCGGGGTTACTAGGCCTCCAATTCGTTACGCTATGATCAAGAAAGTTACTTAATGGAAGCCATGAATAATGAAGAAGATCTCGTAACTTATACGGAAGCTATGTTGGACATAGATTTCTTGAAGTGGGTAGATGCTATGAGAAATGAGATAGATCCAATGAAGACCAATGGAGTTTGGACTCTCATAAATCCGCTCCTTGAAGTAAAAGCAATTGGTTACAAATGGATTTACAAGAGGAAGAAGGCCCCCGATGGGAAAGTTGAGACCTACGAGGCTCGTCTTGTGGCGAAAGGGTACAATCAGAAAGAGGGAACCGACTATGAGGTAACTTTTTTGCAAGTGGCTATACTTAAATCCATTAGGATCCTGCTATTTGTAGCAGCACACCATGATTATGAGATTTGGCAAATGGATGTCAAAACCGCATTCCTAAACGAAGATCTTATTGAAGATATCTACATGCAACAACCGCAAGGATTCATTGTTACAGGTTAGGAACACATGGTGTGTAAACTTAATCGATCCATATATGAACTTAAGCAAACTTCTAGGAACTGGAATATCCGGTTTGACTCTACCGTCAAACAGTTTGACTTCATGCAGAATTCGAATGAGCCCTGTATTTATAGGAAGACAGTGGGAGATAAGGTTACGTTTTTGGTTCTGTATGTAGATGACATCTTACTCATTAGGAATGATGTGGGAATGTTAAATATGGTGGAAGTGTGTCTTTCACAGCAATTCTCCATGAAAGATCTTGGAGAAGCCTCCTACATCTTAGGTTTTCGACTCTATAGAAATAGATCGAGAGGATAATAAGATTATTTCAATTTACTTACATTGACAAAATTGTCAAGAGATACAGCATGGAGAACTCTAAGAAAGGAAATGTTCCTTTCAGGCACGGAGTCACTCTTTCCAAGGGTATGTCTCCCAAGACTCCCGAGGAGATTGAGGGCATGAGAGAGGTTCCCTATGCTTCAGCCGTAGAGAGCATTATGTATGCCACGCTGTGCGTTCGGCCTAACATTGCTTTGGCAGTGAGTGTGGTAAGTAGAAATCAATCAAACCTAAGACAGGAGCACTGGACAGTTGTGGAGAACATACTGAAATACCTTCGAAGGACAAAAGAGTTTTGCCTAGTATTTGATGGTAACTCACTATAAATTGTAGGATATACCGATGCCGACTTCCAGTCAGACCCAGATGATAGAAAGTCTACATCTGGTTACATCTTTACGATGGGGTCCTATGTAGTTAGCTGGAAAAGTAGCAAACAGAGGCCCACTGTAGATTCCACAACTGAGGTCGAGTACATTGCCACAAGTGAAGTTGCCAAGGAAGCTGTTTGGATGAAAAAGTTCATTCAAGAATTATGAATTGTTCCATCCAGTACATCACCCATTCCACTATTGTGTGACAATATTGGAGCCATTGCTCAGGCTAAGGAGCCACGAGCCCACTCGAAGTCAAAGCACATCGAGAGAAAATACCACATACTACGGGAGATTGTTGGTAGAGGGGACGTCAAGATTCAGAAGATAGAATCAGCGGATAATGTGGCAGACCCATTGACTAAGCCACTCACACAAAAAGTGTTTGAGAAACACGTGGAAAATATGGTACTGCACTAGGTGTTGGATTGGGTTGTCTTTGATATGATAATTAGTGAAACATGTGGAAAGTATGTAATTTATTCATCTACAATTGGGGTGGGTTGTCTCAATTGCAAGGGTGAGACCTGAAGCACATGTAGTATGGCTTTTCTTGAAACCCTGAATCGGACTAAATTCCAGTAATGCCTTGGATATTGGAGAGAGATGGGCAAAACTGAAAAAGATACACCTGACCCCTAGACTTAATTATGGTACTGCACTAAGTGTTGGATTGACCTGTCGTTGATATGCTAATAAGTGAGATCCTTAAATGGGGTCAAAACTTAGGTATATTGGGGCAGTCCGAGAATTCACCTAAGTGGGTGATCATAGTGACATGATCAGCCCATTTGTCAAACAAAGTGATTGATGGGGGAACGAATTATCTCTGATGAAAACCTAAAATGCCGGTAGTTGATTTCAAACTTGTCGAGATTTATTTTGCAAATTATATTTACATCGAGATATACGTATATAATATGGTTTCACGAAATGTTTGCAAAAATTTTTTAATTCCCGGGATCCATGTGAGTAGAGAGTGCAACACTGTACCTTGCAGCTGAGGGAGAGATCCTCTCTTGTCGGGTAGTGTTAGATCATTATGGGATGAGAGGTTAAGTGTAAGACCATTTAGGGCTTTTGCCTACTGGGCTAATCTTACATCTACCCACAGTCCTTGGGTCTTCGTAAGATGGGTAGATCCAATGACCATTTAGTGTAAATGTTGGGCCCATTAAGAGCCCATACTGATGGACTCAGGGGTTCATTGTATTTATTAGTGAATTCAGTTAGGCCTTGTAATAGAGGCTAGGTTAAACCCATGTAGCTTATGTGGAGATCAACGATAGGGTCTCACGCCATACAAAGAGAGCCAAGCTATCCAACACTTAAAGGAAAATGAGCCTGAAAGCTTAATGGGCCTAAAGCCCAATTCAAACTAGGCTTAATTTGATTAATTAAATAATGTGACGAATTTGGGTATGGATCAATAGATAAGGATAAGAGGATAACTCTTATCCACTTAAAGAGTCTAGATCCAAATAAAGATTTGGATCAAGAAACTCCTAATCAGATTAGGAGGTTAACTCTTTAAGGATTATATAAATGGAGGAGGACGAACTGGAAAAATGTTACACAATTTCATATTTTTCTTCATTCAGTTCTCTCTTTTTACTTTTGCCGCCCTACCCTATTCGATCTCCAGTTCTTGGAGTGATCAAAGATTGGATCTTGATATTGATTTTTGCTGGAAGAATCAATCTTGAAGTTGTGCTCACATCGATGCTTGATTCTTGTTGAAGAATTGGGGTTCTTGTTGAAGAATCTCCCTGTTGATCCTGCCTCACCCTAAGTTGTGTCATTTTCAGTAGAAGAAGGATTTGGTAACCTCTTTGGGCGTGAATACTATGTTGGGAGGAGTTTTTTTGCATGGATTCCGTATCAGGTATTCTTCTCCCTAATCTTGGTTTCAGATTTAGTTCGATTTGTTTTAAGAACGAACCTTAAAAAATACAGTTTTTTTAAATCAGAGAATAGGATTCCCAGAAGGGAGAAATTTTTTTTTAAAATTTCGTCAATCAGCATGGTTCGACTATCTATATGATAGATTTCGATTGAGAAACAATTCACCAAATTTAGCGTTTCATGCATCCCCTTTTTTAAAAACGGCTTGGTTCCAAACATCCCCTAAATCCTCGTCTAAACTACAATTTTACTGTCTGCATTAACAAACACACACTGACACACGCACAGAGAGGCACAGACGATTTCTACGCGTCCCGTTCGTTCGGCAAATAACCTATTAAGAAGGAAAATGTGAAAGTCAACCTATTTTCAACGGCAATGGAGCAGAGGAGTTGCTGCAGTTTTATTTCCCTCGTCTCTACCTTCTTTCTCATCGCTTCCTCCTCTGCCTATTCCCTCCCAACTTCACCTTTTCTCGGAATTAATCCACAAGGTTCCCTACTCTCTCTCTCTCTCTCTCTCTCTCTCTCTACTATGTTTGTTTGTTTCGTCATCGGTCGATCTGAACACTAATTATGAGATTGTGGAATCCAGATGGTTTCGTTTCCAATTGGGGCATTGTTCCCCAATGCGCACGGTTGAAGAAAAGCACTTTTTTTTTTCTTCAAAATTAACAATTTCTTTCGTTTTCAGAGGAGAAGTACTACACATTGGAGGTGATCAAGTGCAAGGACGGATCAAATTTCTTCACCAAAGACCGTCTCAACGACGGATTCTGTGATTGTGCCGATGGCACTGACGAGCCTGGTAAGATAGATCCCTAGCCTTGCTTCTTTCGAGCAATTATCATCAGATTTAACAAATTCGAATTTTAGTTTACACCTATAAATTACTCTTTTTTTTCTGCTATAATGCTTTGATGGTTGACTCAGATACGTTCAGTTATGTGTAAAACGACAGTAATCGATCAGAAAGTGTGATATGACAGTCACTAAAATAGCTTTATTGATGATCATAACGGAAATTACCGATAAAAATAATAAAGGAAATCGATAGCTTTCTATCATCATTTATATATCAATGACTAAAAGGACAAAGTTAATTTGAGGAGTTAAATAATTTAAAACTTGTAGTTATACTTAATTCCCCATAAAAATGATCTGTTGAAACAATTTCAGTATGGGACCCAAAGATCGCATGTTGTCTTCACTTCAAAGATTTAGCCAAGTAAATTAGCCATTTGCTGACATTTCTTATCCAGATTAGCTCCTGTATTGGGTCTTTCTTATGCTATTATATGTAGCAGTCCAAGTCAAGGCGGTAATGTGATGCCTGGTTGTTTGGTGTCACTAGGCAAAGGGTCAACTAGTCAGTGAATTGGCGAAACTTAATGGGCAGAGAAGGATAAAGAAGAGGTCTCGCATGCAATTGGCTATACATATAACTTCTGATATGAACTGATTCTCTTAGTCAGAATGTTATTTATTCTTTTGTTTGAAGACCATTTACCTGTGATGCATTACATCAACAGATACTATAGTCTTTTGTTTTTTTGTCTAAAGTTTAAAACAACTGCTGTTTCCTGAAGTTTACCTTGTAGTTCTTCATTCTATATTATGCCAGATATAATCTTATGTTTTTGATTAGTCATCTGATTTTATTATTCTGTATCTATAGGGACTTCAGCTTGTCCTGAGAGCAAATTTTATTGTAGAAATATAGGAACTACACCCCAGTTGCTGTTTTCTTCTCAAGTTAATGATCAGTTGTGTGGTAAAGATCTCCCTTCTACTGCATAAATTTCCTTAGTAGATTTTACTTTGCACTTCTCTTTTGTTTAATTAAAATTGTATGTACAGTAAGATCTCCCTTCTACTGCATAAATTTCCTTAGTAGATTTTACTTTGCACTTCTCTTTTGTTTAATTAAAATTGTATGTACAGTAAAATATATGATGGTGCTGTAGAAATTACCATCTTAATCTTATGCTTCAGATGAAATTGTTTTACAAGTGAGCCACCTCTTAGTTGCCTACACCTAAAATACTACACAAATCAGTTTGCTCTAATGTCAATCTATGTTTAATATTAACAAGGGTTAATGAGTAAAGTTTGAGAGTTTTTGAAGTTTGGTCATGTTAAGATTTTTCTTCTAGTATTAGCTTTTCTGTTTGACATTCGTGTGGCACTGAAAGCCTCACTAATCTTTATATCGCTAGTGCATCTGTATATTTTTGGTTTAGATATCTGGACATGGATATGGGTATTTTGAAATAGACATCGAGTGTCAGACAACTGCAAGGTCCAATATCCAATTGTTTTGGGCAGGGGTGGAGCCAGGAATTTTTTATAATGGGGCCAAAACTTATGGATGGGCCATAGGGGGGGCCAACCATTGGGTGAAAAGTGAGGGGAGGGAACAAACTTACATAGAAAAATGTATGGAGTGTGCAAATTTCTGGACCATAGGGGGGGGCATGGCTCCCCTGGGTCCCCCCGTAGCTCCGCCCCTGGTTTTGGGCATGGTCATGCTTGTACATAGACACATGCATGTATATATGTACTTGTGCATATTGTACATCACCCAATTTAAAAGAATGCTAGCTAGGTGGCATGTGCAAATGGAAGTTATCAGTCTTATCATATATTGGAAGAATCAAGAAAGAAAAAATGAAATGTGCTAATTCAAGTTATTGAGGGTAATATGGGAAAGTAGGAAACAGAACTAGAACAGCAGAAACAACAGAAATTTAAATGAAAAATAAGAATTGATGATGGGAAGGAAAACAAATGTGCCCAAACGTTACCTTCTACCAAAAACTTGATAACACATGTTTCATGTGAACATATGTACAAAAAGAAAGTTTCCCATACATCATGTATTTTCAATTTTATTTTAGTCCGTTTTAGATATATATTCATGCTTATCCATGTGCAATTTTAATTCCATATACACATCTTAATTAATATTTCTGTAGATTGTTGTGATGGAAGTGATGAGTATGATGGTGGCATCAATTGTCCAAACACATGTGTCAAAGATGGGAACATTTTTAACAATAATGATGATCCTAATTCAACAAAAACAGATCGTGACGGTTTTGATACAGCAGATATTAGAAGTAGTGTTAGCTTGGAGGATTTAATTCAGAAACTAAAAGGTACTCTTGGTTTATAATGGTTTTGGTTCTGCTGAAACCATCTACAATTTTTAAGTTGGATTTCTTTGGATTCAGAATTGAAGATCATAGTTATTGGAGAGGCTGTATTTGTCAGTTGTCTGGTGGCCTTCCGACTATTCCGGTGGCGTGTCAGGTCTAGGCGAAGACGGTACCATTGAAGGTATTTATCTTCAAATTCTTGTTTATTTAGCTGTATCTGTGGGTCATCTTAAGGTTCGGGAACTTCTTTAATATTCCATCTTGTGGTTTTTTTATTTATCAAGGTACTGAATTCTTTTACCTTGTAGCTCTCCAGCTATATTTAACCCAGTTGTATATACAGGGGTGAAGTCTGACGTTAGCTTGGTTAGTTGGGTGTGGCTAACTGCTTTGTTTTGAGGTTGAGGGTCTGTCTTTGATGTCTTTCCATTCTGGATCTCCAAGTCTAACAAGAGCAGGAGGTTGACCACACCAGTTCATCAAATGGTACAATTTAGTTTTATGATGTAATAAGACGAGAACAAAGAACCACATGGGGTACTTCAGGGGAGGCCTTTAGGTTTGATAATTCTCATGCTATGATACCCAGATACCTGTACAGGGGTGCTGTATCATGTTGGATACTTCAACTTTTAGTGTAAATTCCATATCCAATACTATGTCTAGTCATGTCCGTACACCACCTGGCTCACATAGTTCTCATGGCATAAAAATTTTGTCCTAGTGATATATAATTTCGGTATTACCTGAGCATTGCAACACTTTTGGACTGATGAACCTCCAATAGATCTTAGAGATGTTATTTGGATAATGTCAAAACACTCTGGATATTGTGTAGATCTTCTTTGGGATTTCACTTGATTTTAGGCTATTTCTAAAGTTCAAACCTTTGACTCTTGAATTTTAATTAGTTTCATCTGACTGAAGTTTTGAACTTTCAAAATGCAACATCTGGTAGAAAACGTGCAACCTGTTAGTTGGTCCCTAATTTGTTATCCATCTATGGCCTCCATAATTGCAACTTTAAATAGGTGAACAAGGTGATGGGAGCATGACGTTAGGTTACATAGTCTGGTTGGTCCTTGTAAGGTTTCAATTTGTTGTAAGCATTTTAATTTGACAAGACAATTACGAAACCAAATATCCTCTTGCTACAACTATATTTTATGCGCTTTTCCTTTATAATTATTGTTTCATACAAAAAATACTTTATAATGATTGTTAAAATAATTATTAATTTGAAATACTAAAATCATATTTGTTTTCTAAAAGACCTACATTTTGATCTTTTAGAAAACAAATATTGTTTAGTTTTCAAAAACAAAGTTTTCTGAAAGATCAAAATGTAGGTATTGCTTAAGGCCTAGAATCAAGAGATCTAGTTGATTTTAGAGAAACGGGGGAATATGTTTCTAAATTATTTTCCTCAATTGGTAATATTTGTTATGGCATGAAAATTTGGATTTTTTTTATGATTTCATGTATGATGAGGGGTGATTTGGCCCTCTGTTGACCTAGCAACACCTGGCATCCGTCTTCGCTGCTTGACACCTTAGTGCCACGCGGATAGACGCGTATCTCGCCAAGTCAAGGAGAGCCACCTCGGAATCAGTCTAGGGCACCTTATACACAGCTCGGGCACCTCGGTAGGGTGGTTAGTAGCACCTCGTCCAGGGCCGACCTGTCGTACCTCGTTGTTATGGTCCAAGGGACCTCGGCGTGAGGAGTGACCTCCCTCGAGAACTTGTCGACCTATGGTACCTATTAGTACCGGTCCAAGGGACCTCGACGTGAGGAGCGACCTCCCTTGAGGACTTGTCGACCTGACTAAGGTCCAGGGGGCGACTTGTGAGATGTGCTCGCCGACTTTCTCCGCGGGCATCCCACCATTCCTAGGTCCTCTGAAAGTCAGTTCCCATACCGAATGTTTTGGAGGAAGGCACAAAAGCCTAGTCTACATGCGAAACTACCTCCAAGGACTTCGGACCGGTCAATCACATTTTCCTGGAGATCTCGGACGCGGTGCATGAAGCTTACGCCAAACAATGCCTATATAAAGGCTTCACTTCCTATCTCAGAAGGTACGTGCGATTCAGCTCTCTCAATACTCTAGAAATCTTGCTTTTAGCTCTCTTAAAAACCTCTAGCTCACTAACTTAAGCATTGGAGTGCCCACACCAGTAAAGTGGCCCGGACACTCTAATACTATCTCTTATGCAGGTCGACCTAGTGAACTAGCCAGCTCAGCATTTGAGTCACCTTCTAGCAAGGAGATGCCAGATCGTGCATCATCATTTGGCGCCGTTTGTGGGAATCGCTACTTAAAAGCCAGGTTCTCAACTCATTTTAAATTCGCACTCAACTGTGATCAGCTTGGATGAGCCTCGTCAACTCTGTTCGCGAGGCCACCTTTATTGGTCTAGCCCTAGGCAGCTCTAGTGGGAGTCGGCAGCCAACGGACTGTGTAGTCGCCCTTGCAGGTCAAGCCTTTCAAGGCTTCCGTGCAAGTTGGCGACCTACAGATAGTAGATCCGTCCCCGCAGGTTGAGCTCCCTATGGCTTATCGTAGGAGTAGACAACCATTGTCTTCAAGGGTTGATGCAGTGTAGCTGTGGATCCGACTTGCCGTTCAAACAATGATGCACGTATCGACAATGCTATCACAAGGGGGGTAGAATCTAAACGACCATCCTGGGCAAGATTCAGCGATCTGGCTCAGATAGTCTTGTAGCCTAAACTACAAAACCTCACTACTGATCGAGCCCTCCATGGCTCCCGTGAGAGTTGGCAACTAGTTGACTGAGGAGTCAGCCTCACAGGTTGAACCTTTCATGGTCCCCTGTGAGAGTAGGCAACCCGTAGACAGTAGAGCCACCCCCTCAAGGTGAGCCTCCTATGGCTCTGGTAGGAGTAGACGACCAGAAGTTCTAGGAGCAGGTGCAATACATGTGCATCATTGACCCACGAACGCAGACTTGGGAGAGTCACTCCCACGTGATGGCATAGATGCAGCCGCGTTTAAAGCGACTGCAAAATGACCATCCGCTTTGGCGACCTGGTCAAACCGAACTCTAAGGGGAAACTAAACCGCTTTCAGCTTCAAGGCCCCCTCAAGTCGACCTCAAAACGCATCGGCAACATGTAGCTGATTTATGTAGGTTGGACCCCATCTATCTAGCTCGGCAGCGTTTTGACTTTGCCACTACCACACTTGAATCGATCTTAAAGGACGTTGGCATCTCACTGCTAACTTGATAAAAAATAAAGAAATGGAAGCTTACCGATGAGAAGAAGAAAAAGACTAGTTGCTGGAAATTGCCACAACCGAGTTGGAGGTAATCAAAGTTGTCATCAATCTTCGCTTTAGCATAAGTCCAAAATAGGAAAGCGACATGGGGCCCTTGAGGGTCCCCTAATTTATAGATAGAAGCGCGGACTACTGACGGTCCAGATTCGCTCAATACAACGGTCCAGGAAGAAACCCGCGTTCAAAATTTTGAAAGACGTGCACGCCATTTGAAGGCGTGCTGTTTTAAAATTTGAAGAGCGGTGCAAAATTTCAAGTGTGCGCTTTCGCACCAACAAATAGCTCGATACATCGACTAACCCAAGCAGACTAACTCGACCGACGCCCTAAGGATGTCACCTTGGGCCTCATCTTCATACAAGCTACACCCTTCACCGAACTGGCCTCGGCTTGAGTTTGGGGGGTAATTGATGAGGGGTGATTTGGCCCTTCGTTGACCTAGCAACACATGGCATCTGTCTTCGTTGCTTGACACCTCAGCGCCATGCGGATAGATGCGTATCTTGCCAAGTCAAGGACACTCACCTTGGAATCAGTTCAGGGCACCTTATACACAGCTCGGGCACCTCGGCAGGGCGGTTAGTAGCACCTCATCCAGGGCTGACCTGTGGTACCTTGTCGTTATCAGTCCAAGGGACCTCGGCGTGAGGAGCGACCTCCCTTGAGAACTTGTCGACCTATGGTACCTGTCAGTACCGGTCCAAGGGACTATGGTGTGAGAAGCGACCTCCCTCGAGGACTTGCTGACCTGACTAAGGTCCAGGTGGCAACCTACGAAACGTGCTCACCGACTTCCTCCACGAGCGTCCCACCATTCCCAGGTCCTCCAGAAGTCGGCTCTCATACCGAATGTTCCAGAGGAAGGCACAAAAGCCTAGTCTACATGCGGAACTACCTCTGAGGACTTCGGACTGGTCAGCCATGTCTTCCCGGAGATCTTGGATGCAGTGCGTGAAGCTTACGCCAAACAATGCCTATATAAAGGTCTCACGTCTCTCCAAAATCTCTAGTTCGCTGACTTAAGCATCGGAGTGCCCACCCTGAGTAAAACGACCCAGGCACTCTAATACTGTCTCTTTGTAGGTTGACTCGGCGAACTAGCCAACTCGGCATCTGAGTCACCTTCCAGTAGGAAGCTGCCAGATCGCGCATCATCAATGTACATGAAAATTTTCTCGATGTATTAAAAACTTTAAATTATCAGGGACATATTTATGGAAATTCCCAATTTAAAATTTTAGGGAATTTGGGTTCAACCATTAGGTAGTGCGTTGTAGACGAGAGACATTGATTGGTGGATGCATGCCCTACTGTCTCTGGATACTGAGTAATGTCAAGGACACGGATGTGAGAATGCCCTTGCAACAGAAGAATCAGTATAAAGGAAGCTGAATACTATGTGTTATACATGAAATGAATGAACAATCTGACACTTTTCTTGACCTGGCATTCATGAAGCTGAACTAGAAAATGAAAGGGTTTCATGAGATTTACTGAATAATTGTTTGATTCCTTACTGATTCATGATCACTTTAGAATGATTTATTCTTCACTCTGTATATGGTATTTTGTTTTATCTTATTACATTAGCATACCTGCATCCCATATTAACAAAAGATCATTATACAAAATAGAACACTATCATAGAAGAAAACCTAACTAAAAACAGCAATTTATACAATGCTCTTCTGCCAATTTCTCTAGTACTAGTTTATAAACAATAAATCCAGGCAGAGATGCCTGGAACAAAAGAATCTGGACTACCCTAGACTATTTGGCTGGTTCATTTGGTTTAGGATGTTATACATGACATTTATACACAACTAAAACCTATATTACCTAAAGGCTGGCTGAAGAATCTTCACTTTCTTCTACTCCTAAGTATGGACCTCATTCTTGGTTTTTTATTTTTTTATTTTTCACAAAGAGGATAGCAAACTATCCAAGTAATCGCTTCCAAGATCCTGAAACTCCAGTATGTCAGATTCATTTCCCAACTTCTCCTCCACACTTGGCTGTGTCTTCCATGCTGGTGCTTTGATCATCATCTCATCATTATAGTCCCAATCTCTGTTGGATCTTTTTCGGGGATTAAGAGTCTTCTCAATGCACCCATGAGATGGGAATAGGGAGTGGTTTAGTTCCGTAGCAAAACATTCCTGGGAATACTCAGAGGTACAATTGAAGTCCTGCCCTGAATGTCTATCTTCCATGGCCTCTGCAACCATCTTAAGTGGAAAATTGAGGTAAGCTCGAGGTCCTCTCATCCTTAATGCAGCTTTATCATAAGCCAATGCAGCTTCTTCAGCTGTATCAAAGGTCCCAAGCCAAACTCGGACACCTTTTCGTGATGAGTCCCTTATTTCTGCTGCATACCTTCCCCATGGTCGCTTTCTAACTCCCCTGAAGTGTCTGGTAACCACCTCAACTCTTGCAGCATTTGGCTTTGAAGCTGAACTGGATTCACTACATTCAGAATCAAGATTGCCAGATGGTTCAATATTGCTTGCTGGAATGATGCCATTAAGCAGCTCTTCCCAGGTTTCAGCTCCCATGGATACCCATCTCCCAAGACTAGGAAGTCTCTGCAGAAGTTCCATTGATCCATCTTTCCCATTCAGATTAGATGGATCCTCCCAAGTTTGAGATAATGTAGGAGTGTTGCTTGTTCCTCCTTCCCCAGGTGCAGTTCCAGCAATGAAGTTGGCCCATACGTTCTCTAAGAGTCCATCTGGTGATGTACAGTGCTCCAGTCCAATGGCCATGGCACCAGTCCCAAAACTGATCCTTTCTGCAGTTCACAAAGATGAATAAGCGAACAGCTGATATTAGGATTTTACAAATATAAAGCTGGGCACTTCTTGCTTGAGACAGCTCAGCTATGATACAACCGTATTCCATGAATGGAAATCCAGTAAGAAACTTCTACTTGAAACAACTATCTAGCTTAATTCATAATGTTTAATCAGATTCAAAGTTTCAAACTATAGAAAGGAGATAAGCATTTTAATTAAGGCTCTTAGGTTGACTTGTCTGGATGTACTAATCATTCGTGGATTTATTCTAAGTTCAAAATTTACATAGTTTATTGTAATCCAATGTGTGAAGTGACCATGATTAATTAATTAAGGGGAGAAAGAACACCGAAGAAAAATGAGAAACTTGCTCAATTGTCAATGGGTTGTATCTTACTTATTGATCAAGGTGTTGCTGCACTGTCAAGGGAAAGAAGTGATGATGCAAGGGGAGGTTTAGGGGTTGTATTCTATATCATTTCTTCAGAGATACTCATAACGATACGCACTTTTAAAGTCTATATACTCACAATGACTCTTTCCTTAAGATTTAAAACTGTTGCTCATTTTGGACATTCTCTTTTTCCACTTCTTTGCTGCCTATTAAGCATCTCTGTGGGTCATGTTAGGTTACTGAGGTAGCACCATTATTTTGTAAATAAACAATATAATTAGATCGATCTATATGATCATTCATGCTTCAGTGCTGGGCAGTGGGCATACCATCTGTATTGGATAGTCAAATCTCCCTCATCTAGTTTTGGATTTTGGTTCATGAGATGCCTCTGAAGGATATCTCCAATTCTCTACAACTCAGCTCTACTGGGGTCCATTTTCAGTGGCATTTGGCAAGCCTTTCCACATGGTCTGCTGGGCTTTGGCAAGTTCAGAAGACCAAAAATTGGTCTTTTTCTGTTTGGTAACAGAGTACCAGGAAGACCAGAAGATGTACACCCAAAAAGACCTGAAAATACCGTTGAATTTCAGGAAGCTTCAAATGAAGCTTTTGGGTCTTTTCACCCAATAAATAGTCTTTAGATGTATTTCTGAAAGCCCATTCTGTCTTTTGGCCATCTGGGCATCTGAAAAATCTAATTGAAAAGGCTATCCAAACGGTACCATCTTTTCAGCTATTTGTCTGCCTTAATTATAGATGGGTTTGCGTTGAATTTTTTGGTACAGGATCCTTTTGGCCACAGGGGCTGTATCTGTATGATTATTAAACTTAGACACCTTAAGATACACATTTCATAGTTGGGAAATCAAATTTAGTCCAGAAAATATCCAATTACACTGGCTGAGTTTCACTTGACATCGTGATGGCCTGATGGGATATCTAGATAGTTGATATCTGGCTGAATATGATGGCGTGTCGGGAGATGCATATTTCTCGTCCCCTACCTTAACCAGCTACTGTAATATCGGCTCTCATACCGGAGAAGTTAACTTGGCTTTGCCTTGTGCCCCAAGCCTTGACACCTTAATGAAGGGAAGATAGAAAGAAATTGGAAAAATTAATGTGAGGCCACACGCTTTGGCACAAAAACAAAATCTCAGCCACGACCCAAGGGGGGAAGAGATAAGGAGCTTGTTTCAGAAGCAAAATGGATGTGGCCCAGATTCCATGTATGTGAAGGAACCTTGTGCAAATTGTTCAAGAAAGCCAAATAAAACGCTCGGGGGGCGCCTGACTCGGTGATACCAAGAATGTCTGATGCCTTAATCAATGCTGCAGAGTGATCTAGTATTTTTCCATCTGTCCACTACTTTAAATCTTGAGTTGGCTTTATTTGCCAACTTATTGAGGTCTCGCACGCATCATCTTATATCAGCAAGCTGACTCGGACTGACCCACAGGAAGGCGTCTTTCTCTTATACCTTCCTGGGCTCCATTAAACTTCCTAGATCCTAGTAGTTCATACTCCATAGCTCTTAAAGTGGAATATTGGATCGGAGTCAAATTTGGTCCAGGGAAAAAATGAACCTCATCAACATCATCCAAGCCTTACTCCAACTATATGGGTTCGGGTTGGTCCAGGCTAGCATGAACTTATTTTTTATTTATATAGTTGAATATTTATATGTCCCCGCTCCACCCAAGGATCAAAGTATGGATACGTCTAATGTCAAAAAGTGGGTATCAGTATATCTTTTTTTTTATTATTTTTTATTTTATATAATACCACAAAATTTTAAAACTTCAGAACCATTAAAGTATAGATACATCTTGGAGTCTACCAGTACAGATACTATATGCCTTGTATTGATATTTTAATCATTGGTTCCACCCAACACCAGAAGCTTTAGACAGTCTCTTCCAAGATATGTGAGACAACCTTCAGTGTTAACCATGCTTTGCTTTCATGAGTATTTGAGTGGTTCTAACAGAACTAGTTCGAAATTAGTACACTGCTTTGCTCGGGATTTCTCATGGCGGGGCTCATGGTTTTCTAGAGTCAAGATCAATGCTAAATAAACCACTTGTCACACATCCATGTCACGCATGGTTGCATACAGAAACTGAGAGACTTCATCTTCAAGTATTGCCCTTTTCTTTTGTTCTCCCTTGCACGGTTTCATTGTTCGGCAGGTGAGATCCAACCAACTGTCGAAGTACAACAATTGTAATCGACCCAAGGTTTATTATTTAATTAATTCTTTAACGATGGTTCTGAGTTATCGATTCCAAAATACTTTTAATTGAGTTATCGATTCCAAATTTTTTAAGATTTGGGAAGGATAAGCTTTTGCTTTTAAGCTTTGGGGGGTGTGAAAAACAAAATTGAGGCAAAAAAATATTTTGAGCGTTAGGTAAGAATTGCTTTTAAAAATACCATAATCTGAAGATCAAACATTTTAAAGCTTCAAAGGCCAAAGAACAAAGCCCTAAAGACTCATTTGGGAGGGCTGAAGCTTTGGTTAGACTGCCTTTGAGAAGCCAATGGAAGATGCTTAAGTGGAAACTCGAAAGCTATTTTTAGGGCCGAAGAACAGCAAAGTTGGGCTTTCTAGCTTTTTCACCAAACATTACTTATAAACTGCTTGGGTGAGGCCCAGCTTGCAAAGCCAACAGCCATGGCAAAACCACTAAATTGGGGCTTTGTGATTTTGGGCTTTAGAAGCACAAATCCTGAAGGCTGTCCAAACACAATAATCAAGAATGTAGTTCATTGAAGTTATTTTTTTTCTTTCCTTTTTTTTTTCCAATTAGGTACTCCTATAAAGTTTAACTTTAAATTATTTTCTAAACAAACTGATGATTACATTGACTTTAAAAATATTGCATAACCTAAATAATTTTTACCAATTGAAGCAAAAAGTAATTTTTACGAAAAAACTTAAAAAATAATGATTAATTGTTTAAAATAACATAAAGTTCTTAAATATTAAAAATTTATAGGTACTTCCGTCAATAAAAGTAATGGCATGTTAAAAAAAATTTAGCTCTTAATTTTATATCCTTTTAACATATAACATACCTATAAAGGTAGACTTATTTGCATTTTGGGCAAGTCTTTTAGGCCATGTTTTTCTTTTTGTGTTCAACTATGATACTGGAAAAGATGGTAACCAATGAACGGGTGTCATAACAGTGGTAACTAATCAGGTGGTATTTTCCAAAATTCACTGTGCGGTGGGGGGAGGGAGTTGATTGGTCAAAATCATTCCAGCTGGATCTGCTTCCCACGGAGAACTCCTCACACCAACCTGACATCACATTGCAGCCACATAGGGAACGTTTCCCATATTTAGGGGTGTCAATCGGACTGGATTTGGTCCAGTCCAATCGGATCCATTTACAAATGGACTGGACCAAATCCAATCCAAACTGGATTGGATCCAGTCGATTTGAAATGCAAATGGATTGGATTGGGTCCAACCCTGTCCAAACAAAATGAAAATTCAAAAAATACCTGAAAACCCAGAAAATGTGAAAAAGTTATAAAAGTATATTAAATTTTGTTACAAAAATATAAAAAACAAAAAATTAATGTATCAACCATATATTCAAGGTAGAAATTAATTATTTTCCTAATTCCTCCGAAAATAAACAAAATGGTATCCATCTCCACAATCAAACACCCAAAAAATATCATTTCCTCAGAAAATAAACAAAATGGCCATATCCGAACAAGGATGCTAAATAATTCACAGGAGATGAATTCAACGAGGGAAAATCTAAGTGTGGTATAGCGAATTTGTTTTCTCTGCCACGTCCCACTGAAATACATAGAAAAAGTCAAATCGTGCGTACGGTCATGGGCGACAAGCTACTCCCTCTCTGAGCTTTCTGAGAAGTAGAAGAAACTTGAACCCAATAAGCAGGTGTTCCGTTGTGAAATGTCATTCGGTTTCATTCTCAAACCGAAAATCTCTCCTCTCCTTTTCGGATTTCAAATTTCCCTCACCGTCCGCCTTTCCTTTCTACTCAAACGCCCTGATTGAATTAAGGAAAAAAAGCTGAAGCTACAGGCCCAAAACCCTATTCATGAAGAGTGTGGGGAGAAACGTGGCGATTCGTAGAGGAGAGATGATGATGGTGACCATGCTCCGTTCTGCCGGTGTAAGCACCCTTGAAGCGTCACCGTATTCCGGCGTTATGGTCCACCGGATTATGATGCTTGCGCTTCTCTGTGTTGTTGTTGCATTACCATGTGTTCTTATCTATAATGCTGCCTTTACTTTCTGACTTCTCTCTCTCCCTTTTGATGGTTATTCTATGTTCAACCACGTTTTCTCCTTCGATGCCATTGAGTCTGATTTATCTTCGGTGAGTTTCTCCTTTATTGTTTATTCCTTTTTAACATTGTTTGTTTAACTGCATTTTCTTTATAATTCATTTTAGCCATCCGAGTAATTTAGAAATTCTTTTTTTTTTTTTTTTTGTTTTTCCTTGGACTGGGACTTCGGACGTAGTAGCGGGCCTTAGAATCAGCTAAGTAGATTCAGTGGAAGTTCGTTGGGAATGTCGATTTTTTTAGTAATGTTAAACTATCAGAGTTCAGATGAGAGACGACTGCCGAAGGTTTGTTGAGTGTTTGGTTTCGATTTTAGTTGCTTCAGAGTTCAGATGAGAGACGACCGCCGAAGGTTTCGTGAGTGTCTGGTTTTGATTTTAGTTGCTTTAGAGTTCAGACGAGAGACGACCGCCGAAGGTTTCTTGAGTGTCTGCCTGTCTGGTTTCGATTTTAGTTGCTTCAGAGTTCAAACGAGAACGACCGCCGAAGGTTTCTTTGAGTGTCTGGTTTCGATCTTGGTTTTGATTCAAATTGGTAGGGTTTTTGGCATTGAATTATTGGGTTTTGGTTTTGTGCCGATTCAAACCAGTAATAATACGAGCGATTTTATTTTGGATTGGCCCAACCCAATAACCATAATGGATTGTCCAAAACTGACTTCATAAGATTTGGATCGGTTTGGATCCAATCCAAAACAGTCCAATTGACAGCCCTACCCATACTTGTATGTTGTCATTTATGAGGACATATTTCCAATGCACAACTAGGACGATGCGCATTTTGACAATTCCTAACTGGCAGGTGACTTGGATGCCTGGCTGAATAATCTCTACCTGGAAGGTGGCTTGGACGTCTAACTGAATGGTGACGAGCTGGAGAGGTGGCTCTAATGTTGGTTCTAATGTGATCTGC